TGTACCACACAAATCTCTCGATACAGTAAAACAGTTAATTGTAGCCAAACAAGTGAAAACAAATTGGGGTTTCCAACTGAAGCAGGATGAAAAGTTAAACGGTTATGACCTATTACGGGATAGAGAAGAGTTAAACAGACACCCAACTGAAATGCAGGTACAGGAAGACACAGAGAGAGATCGCATTCCCATTGCTAAGGAAGGCGATTACTCCGCTTGTCGCATAATGAGAGCTAAAATCTAATGATCAACCCCAACAATGGATACTGCAATATACGGGACATACCGGGATTGTGTAATGTTTTTGAATGTGATGTCAGTAGGAGTCTTAAATTAAAAAAAAACTTTGGGCTGGAGTAAGTGTCGTATCTGGATTGCGGAGGAATAGAAATGTTTCTCGTAACCTTGAGAATGCTACTACTATCAACTATGAACAAGTAGTATGCCAAGGCGCTTTTATTTTATCACAACAGACGCCAACCAGATGATATAACAAAAGCAGTGAGACTCGTGTGCCAGGAGCCTCGATCAAGTCACTGTTTTTATCTGCACAGACCACTCCGAGTCATGTGACCGTGAAATTCGGATCGATTGGTGAGCAATCTACACTTATCCACATATGTAACAGCACACACAGTGAACACTTCAGTATACACGCAAACGATACTGTGTGCTTGGTCAGTCACAGTAGAAGTGATCTAACCAACAGTGAAACAGGTTTTCATAAACACAAAAGAGGACAAATGTGAACAGAGCTGATATTGGCCAACAATATCGCTTGCTTTCAATCCAACGAATACACGAACATTTATACGATCTCCTCCAACAAAGAAACCTGGGAATTGAAATCAGACATTTGAACAAGGTGGTAGATGCGTGGGGTTTTATTCAAAGAAAACGATAAGTATCATGAACCCGGGACACAGTGATCAGTCATCGAGGGAATGGGACCGGTCAATCTCTATTCATATAATGTAATCACAATCTTCACTTACGAGGATCAAAAGAAGTGCAATCCGAATGACCAAGCATTGTAGTTGCACGTGTCAGATAAACATACATAGTGATAGATCTGTCTATTCACCCCAACCGTTATCTGTTTCCTGTTGATACAGCGTTACTTGAGCTGAGAGCAAAACACAAGTACCGACCTTGTAGAACACAGCTGACACAAAAGCATAACTTCTAGCGATCAATACACTTTGCTGGCATGTTTTAAAATGTTCTGCAATCAAGCATGACGGAGAATGTATCAGCAAAGCCTGAGTCGATAAGTTATCGACAGGTGGAGAATTTGTTTTAGTGCCCGTCACAGCATGAAACACACGGAGACCTACTGTGCAGTCAGAATAGTTTGCGCTTTCGGAGTGCAATCTCGCACTGGGTGAATGATGAAGTAAACCATGTCTGACGAAATGCAAGGTGAAATATCACGTGCAGATTCCTTCGAAAATATGCCAGGACCAATAGGAGATCAGACAAAACTTTGTTACCAGCGGCGGATTCTGTGAAGCGTAGACTACAAGTTAATGCGTCATTGTGGATAGTTTGACCGAGGATAGAAGGAATCTGATCCGGAGATGAAGTGTCCAGGAACTAACCTTTTTAAATAATTTGCATCAACGTGCAAGGCTCCAATGATCTGTGGTTATAACGTTACCCGGACTGGGGTTGTAGCACCCGGAAAGATGGATATCGCTTAAAAAGCACGAGACTGCACCTTGACATGGTGTGACGGTTTGCGTGCCTCCATAACCCAGCCTAATACACAGAACGGCTTTTCACAGACGCAGATCCAATCATGCCAGAAAAGTCAACGGGTAGAGAGTAGACAAAGTTCAGCCTCACACGGCCAGCTGCTTGGGTACCTTTAGATCTTCTTTGACGATCCACTCTCGTTCCTGGAGAGGTCACTCTTGCAAATAAACATGGTGAGGGCAGTTAACCGGTCAAAAAACCCCACTAGATGGATGTAGGAGTGTGGAACCTGGGGCATCCTCCCGATGGTGGAAAAAGTCTTCACACTTCATTGGGGAGCCCATGGTCAATAAGGTGCTGTCGAGTTCACATTCTGCTTGTCGCGTTGGGTGCATGAGACTAAAGGCCAATCCTGAACAGCAGACAGATAATCAACGCACCAGCAAACAATACACTAAACTGAAACCCAAAATCCTGGCGCGACTGGTCTCTGGAAGCTCACACACGGTGCTTCGGCCACGTTGCCGCATTGAATCTACACCCCATTGCCTTGTGGGTTAGACTTCTAAATCGATGGCTCTGTTCCGGATACCCCAAGAAGAATCGCTTCGCAGGTCTCGGTTAGCGCGAAGTATGTCATGACCTAAACTCATAAACACCCCTTTGGAAAGCCCTGTTTTTCATCTGGTCAATTTTTTCTCACTCCCGAACCATTCTAGATGACTCCCATGAGATATCACCCTTCGTTAAACCAGTTAAGTCAACCAGTCAGTGACTGGAGAAGCCGAAATCCCCTTTTCACTTAGCTGCATTCAACGTCCGCACACTCTATGAGATCGGCCGATAAGTCGCCTCAGCTGGAATTCTTGCAATTTTCAATGTAGATGTACGCCGTGTCTTCGAAACACGTATACAAGACCCTACCTCAATCTTCGCTTTGCGATCTCTAGATCCGAGCTCATTCCCACGTTTCAATCTCGGTGTGTCACGCGATTTGGCATCTGATGCTCGCCAAGGTAGAGCGCTCGTTTCTTGACTAAATTTTAGTCAGTAGCCGATTGTGCGCAGTATTTCCCAACCGTCCACCAAGAGAAAACAGCTACAGAACGAAACGTTAGTGCTTATTCGTTGTGTCCATGTATGCGCTGACCGTGTTTCTAAGACGACAGGTGAACTCTTCAATGATTTTTCTCAAACGCTCCAAGACGTCTGGTCAACGGACTTTGAAGTAGCAGCTAGAGGCTTCGATGAACAAATAGGACAAAACAGAAAGCTGCCTGAGCGGACCGCATGCAAATTCAGGCTACGGATAGACAAAGGAGATCGCCCATTTCAACTCTGCGTAGACCATGGCCAAGAAGCACAAACTGTTTCCACAAGAACCGACCCCGCCGACTTCTTTACAGCGACGGACACAAATCGACATCACCATCAGTTATCGCTGGCGGAGATCTATTCAAGACTGCCGCCATCACTGATCAAAACCTGTGGATAAGGACTATGCTATGTGACAAGTCAGATTCTCTCTATACTGGGGTATGTTACGCATAGCACACATAGACTGCCACGGCGCGTGTTGCTTACCGAAACAGGTGTCGGGTGGAAAAAGTAAAGGGCTGTCAAATTCCGGCTTGGCATTAGGGTACGAAAACCCTGACGGCGAAACGCGTTCAGATAGTTAGCGTTACGCTTTCCGGATGGGAACATTGGTGTCAGCACAATCAATGGTTAGAAGCAATGAGTGATTTAGTTGTCATAAACAGTGGTACATAGGCCTCTACTCAATCAATTTGTAAAATTAGTCCACGTGAATTCTATATTTTCTCTGATACACAGCCTTCTACTCTATCATACAAATGGGCAGCTAAAAGATAGCAATCAAAACCGCAGCACCAAAGTGCGTGGTTGACGATTTTTAAAAGTTAGCTGGACTGATATCATTTATGTCAGAGTGACGAGATGTTGAACTGGATGTCTGTGAGACTACTGCGAACGCGTATGCAACGAGATCAATAGGATTGATCCTAACTAAAGGGAGATCGATTCCCGTTCAGCGAAAATCGGCCGTTTGTAGTCAAAAAAGCGGTTAGGTGCTGTATGCTACGTTCGACAAGTTTTACTCTGGAGTTTTAAATAATGATTAACTGGTGGTGCTTGTGTCAGCACAACCGAATGAAATATGCTGAATGTTACTGTTGCGACACGAAATATATCGCTATGCACACTAAACTGTGTCGACATCCTTGTTTTGCTCAAATAAATCACTGACAATCAGAAGATTATCAGAACGGCTGTTTTGTGATACAGCCAGCTCAAGAGGTCTAAACCACCATTGTGAAACTGTGGTGATCCTAACCTAAGGGACAACGCCAACCACGGAGCGGCGCGCTACAGTTTCGGAACAGCGAACCACATACCAATCATGCCGACCAAACAGAAGACGTGTGATCCACAAAGATGTGACGTCAAAAATACAGGCAGGTTATTAATGGAGATCGGTATAACCAATTAAATTCCTTATTACATGTTAGTGAATTCCACTAATTTTCCTCAATAAACCAAATGCTAGTTCTGTGGTGTTTTCCTGCATGTGGATGACGGGAGATTCCAGTGTACGATTACTAGTGTGATTCTGTGCTTCAATTACGACCGTGATTCGTGATCCGTAATCCGTAACTATTTCGACTACTGCAGAAACCATGTAGCAGGCTCAACATTCTAGTAGGCATAAGTTGCTCATTGAGAGACGCTGATTTGAGCAGCCATCTTTTATTGTGTAAAAAAAGCTACATTTTAAAATCCGACATCCATGTGATGAATAGCAAAGGGGATGGACTGCATAGTTATGAGGAACTGCCACAGAAGACACGAGACTTGGACTAACGAAATGTACACGGCGACGATATTGAGTCGGACAATGGTGACGGAGTTAGGGCTCGAATCTTGG